GAAGCACACACACAATCCTGCTCCCACCTTGCTCAGAAGAACGCGGCGGGCAGCTCCGTCTCTGCTCCCTGGGTCTCTGACTCCCTGGCAGGGAGGAACTGGGCATTATTGCCAAAAATAAACGTTCCCTCTCCCGCTCCCTGGCTCCTGGCTCCCGGCTCCCGCTCATTAGGATGCGTGGCGTTTGGCTGCGGTCCCACACCTTGCAGCTCATTATAAATATGCAGTCGCTGCTGGCGCTACCCCAATCATCTCTGCAATCAGAGCTTTTAATTAGGTTAATTAAATTGTATCAAATCTCGCAGGGACGCAGTTCACTGATGCTGATGAGGCAGCCAAAACAGACCCCAGCTCCTCCACTAATGAAGGCCGCTGCCTGCCTGCGCAGTGAGGGAGCCCGAGCGCATAATAAACGGAGCATCCTCTGGGAGGAGCTGCTGCCCAGACCCTGAGCTCCAGGGACCTGGCAGGGGGTCTGCATCAAGCCCACCAGGATCCAGCTGCCGCAGAAACTCCCACCCCTGGGACTATCCCCTTTACTCGAGAACTAACTAGGGCGGCTTCAAAGGCCCAGGCAGGTGGGCAGTGTCAGGGCCCTGAGCACCTGCCAATTCTACACAGCAAACTTAGCTGTGCCCCAAGATCCCCTGACTCTGTCTAGGGTTCCTTCTTTACTTCTCCCCAAGAATGACCCAACAAGGCCAGGTTTCTATCTCCTACACACACACACACACACACACACACACACCCCTGTCACTGCCCCCTCTGGATTGCCTTATTAGCCAGGGAGGCCAGGCTGAGACTAGAAAGCTCATCCAGCCACTAGAGGCCTAGTCTCCATCTGCCATGGAAGCCATCTGCCCCTGTGGGGAGTGGGGGTGGTTTATCATAATACCAGCCAGTAACAGGAAGGGGTGGTACCCCCATCTCCATGTGCCAGATGGACCCTGCATCTTCCCACCTACCACTCTACCTAAAGAGCCCTCTCCAAGGGAGGCACACTTGCCCCTGACCTCTTGGGATCAAATTAACTAGAGATGTGATACAGTGGCTTCCTTCCCTGGCCACTGCCCATCCTGAGCTGACTGTCCCTGGCCCCTGGCAATCCACTGCTGGACACTGGAGACCATAGGCTCCAGAGCTAGAGCGCCCTGCAAAGGTCATCCCCTGTCTTTAAGCAGGAAGGCAAGTGCTACCACCTCCAAAGGGGCTGTCCCCAAATCGCTTCTCAGCCTGGCTCCAACCCCCTCCTCTCAACCCCCCGGGGACAGGTCTCTGTTGCTGAGCAGCTGCAGAGAGAGAATGGGGAAATTTTCGGTGCTCTCAAGACATGTCGTTTCTGCTGTAGAAGCTGGTTTTCTGGTTTGGAAAGGGTTTTTTTTTTCCACCCTGTAATGTGAAAACCTGAAACCTGAAACCAACCCCCCCCCCAACATTTGTCACCTCAGAGCCTTTGGGGTAACTGGGAGAAGGCTGTAAATGAGTCAGGCTGATTCAGAGCAGGGGGCTGCCCAGGTGCCTCCAGGGCACCACAATTTCATTAACACTTATGATCTGAGCATGGCCATCAGGTGACAGACGACAGGAGGAAAGGAAAGGGCTTCCTTCCCACCCTCTTCTTCACCCCAAACACAGCAGTCCCCAGATACACTTCTCTTGCCTGGAAACAACTAGGTCCTTGGCTCTGTTCTGGACCAGTCCTTACTACCACCCACCAAAGCAGGGGGCTCAAGACAGTTCTACTGCCCCGCCTTCAAGCAGTTTACTCCCCTCCCACAAGAGAAGAGACAGCCATTGCCATTAGTAAAGCCATCAAGTGAAGCAGGCAAGACTGGACGGGGAGAACTAAGTACAAACTTCAGTTAGAAGAGATACAGATTAGACAGCACTTCTCAAAAGCAATGATGATGGATCCAGGAATAAGAAACTGAGAGATGGCTTATAGGAAGTCTGAAGAAGCAGTAGAAATTTCATTCCTTTAAACAGTTTGAGAAAGAATAAGCAGAAGCATGATGTGGGCAGCCTTTGGAGCCTCCTAACTCTAAGTGATAGGCTTGAGAAAGGAAGCTCTGCCTCTTGGAGTTTCATAGCTTCTCTCTGATCCTTCCTGGCACTTTCTGCTGAGACAGACCCATGATGCTAGGTGGGAGCCCTGCCAGCAGAGAGGCCCCGTGACCTGGCTGGCAAGAGACAGAGCACCCTCTGACCCCAAGAGGCAGCTGCACAAGCCCAAGAAACCTGCCAGCTCAGCCCTAAGACAGTATCTCGGGTCCGCCCCCAATTCCTCCAACTCACCTGGAGCTTTGGGCCAAGACTCCCACCCAAGCTTTGGCCCGCCCTTCCCCAAAACCCTGGGCACAGGCTCTGTGAACTGACGCCCTGGGAGAGCTTGAGGAGGAAGGGAGGCCAATACCATCCACCCACTTGCCTCACTCTTTCAAGTCCCAACAGGCCCTGGCCTCACCGGCCTCCACAGGTCGGCAGAGCAAGTCTGCATCTGCTGGCTGCCTTCCTTGCCGGAGGATGTGCAGTTCTAACTGTTCCCTCCCCGACAGCCAGCTATAAACAAACACTCAAAACATGGGGAGACCCCCACCATGTCTTGATGGAACCACCCTCTGGACAACCTGGGACTCCAAGACATTCTTCTCTCCATGGTCCTCATGAGAAATGGGAAAAAGCCCTTTCCTGCCCAGTACTTGTCTTGGGGTAACCTCAAGCTGGGGAAGCAGGGGCAGGAGGAAACCTTTTTTACAAGCCCTCTCCCCATGACATTGAATCCAATAAATAAGTACATATGAAGCACCTACGGAGTACAGGATGCTTCCAACAGAAGCAAAGATTGTTAAGTAGGTGGACACCAGCACCATGGGAACTAACCTCAGCGAAGGGGCAGCAGCTCCACCTACTGGTCCCTTTCCCACCCTGTCGCCAGGAATCAGCTCAGCAAGAAATCAGTTCTCTAAGATTCTCCTCAAGAATAAAGCTAGGGCTTGACATTCTCCTGCTTTGTTCAGAAGAGCCCTAAGCTGTGGCAATGGACCAAGACTGGGCCAGGCTGGTTGGTTCTCTGCTGGGGAGACTGGAGGGTTCCATATCATCCAGGTAGCTGCTTTAGAGACTGGGCTTGTACAAGAGACCTGAACCATACAAGTCCTGACTCACAGAAATGCTCCCTACCCTGGTAGGCTATCCACATTCCCCTTGGCACATCCAGAGCAGGAGGCTGCCAAGAGCCCAGATCACCCTCTGCGCTCAGACACTCTCCCCCAAAGCAATGAGCCGGGAGTCCGATGCTCCACTGAACACCAAAGTTTCAAGGGCCTGGCCTATTTTCAGGACTCCAGGCTCCATGAGGCTGGAGCCTATGTCTTGGGTTAATCATAAGGGGCAGCCAGTCTCTCCTCTTGGACTCCTCGGGCCTGAGACAGCCCTCAACACGACAGCCACCCCAGACACCTAGCTTTATCCTCTACGGTTCTGCTTACCTCCAGCCTAGAACTTTTGCTACTCCAAAGAGGATGCACCTTCCTGCTGCTTTTGGCCTGTACGTGTCTCTTCAGGCATCACTGTGTACCTATTACGTGAGGACTCGTTTGAGTGGAACCACTGCACGTGAAACCCTGGTGGTGTGTCCGTGTATCAGAGGCTACATAGATGTACACTCACCTGTCCATGAGGCCTGGGTAGTATGTGCCTGTGTAGCTAATAGGAGAGCCTATGAAGTATGTGTACCTTTGCGTGGGCAGGCACTTAAGGAGAAGGCATTCAACTCCCCACCGTCCCCTACCTTCCTGGCCAGCAGGGACAAGGGATAGTCAGAGCAGCAGTCAAGTTGTTTTGTGAGGAACAGATTGCTGACTGGTCAGCTCACTCCTCTAATGACTATGTGGTGAGTTCCTTCCCTGTCTGGGACTCAAGTGCCCCCAAGCCCGGTGTCCTAAGACTGTCAACATTTACTTAACACCTCCCCAGAAGGGAGTTCACATGCAGACTGGGAAGCTCCTCCTTCCCGAAGGCCAAGCTAGCTTCTATTCCCCTGGCCCTTCTTCCCATTTTCCAAGGACCCCAGATCTGAATCCCACTGGGTACACCATGAAAAAAAAGGCTTTCATTTTAGGCTTTATACAAGAAACTAGCAATCACGAGAACTAAATTTTAACAACTATTTTTTCTCCATCTTTAATATCCATGCACAGCTGTTTCTCTTCTAGGGGACAAAGTTTAAGCAAGTCTTCTGGAACCCTGTTCCTTCGACGTTTGCTCTGAACATGCTCAGTCCTGTCCTAAAAGCCTCGAAGAAAGTTGACACTCGGAAAAGTAGGAAGCTGCCACACACACCCCGGGGTCCGCATCTCCAGGGTGAAGAAAGGCCTTGGATTCATGAGTTGGCCAGGAGAGCAGAGGGCAGAAACAGAGAGGCAGGTCTGCTCTGATTTGAGCTTCAGTAAAGAAGAGGTGCCCCTGTGGGTTCCCAGTTCCAAGGGTTTCTATCTGTAGCTATAAAGTATAAGAGAAAAAAATTCCTCCATGGCTAACTTATGAAGCTACGTGAATATCCAACAAATATAGAATAAATGAGGGCAAAATCAGTCTATCCACTGGATAAACATTATACAAACACTGAAATAGTATTTTTTACTGAACATTTTTTAAAATTTAGTGATGTAACAAAATGGAAAAGAGCTCATAATTTAAATGAAAAAACTAAGATATAAAATTGTTTATTATAATTACAACTACAAAACACAAAAACATATACAAAATCCAGTGCATACCTTTATGAAACAAAAGAAATAACCCAGAATGCTTACAGGACCGTTCAGCCTCACTGTCCTAGCTCCCAGCACTGTAAGTATGCAATAACTATTTGTTGTTCTTGAATAAGCTCTGGGATTAGAGATGAACTCATTTATTTTCCAAATTTGCTGTAATGAGATTACAGAACTTTCATAATGGAAAAAATGTAAATATATAAAATTAAGACTGACCACAACATAAACACGGTAAGACAAGGGAAGGGGTTTTAATGTCATTCACATCAAATGGCAGATCACAATAAATTATGGTTACAAACAAGGAAACCATGTCATTTAGACCGAAGGGACTTGAAATTACTGGGGAGGGAGGGGACATAGAACTCTTTTCCTTGTAGAATGACGAGGCTTATCTATAACACGTCAATGTTTTCGCTGACTTTGAAATTTGTAAATAGCTGGGGAGTTCACTGTTTCTTTCTTCACCTTCACCTTCTGAGTTTTATCCTATAAAAGAGTAAAAAGGTTACTCCAGTAAATTGTACCAGAGGTTTTGTAAAATAGGAAAGTTCATAAACTACCTATAAGAAAGCCCCTAGGTGGTTCCATAGAGTAGTGGTTAGCACGTCTGCTTTACACATAGAAGGTCTTGGGTTCGAGTCCCAGCAGAGCCAGGGCCCATACCCCGGGTGCACCAGGCCCCGGGCTTGCCAGGAGCATGTGGGAGGAGACACGCTGAAGGTCCAGTTCTTAAGGGGAGATGGCAACATCCATAGGTCAAGGGTGGAAGGGAGAAGGGATTAAAAAAAAAAAAAAAAGCAAGCCCCTAATTCAGCCCTTCTCAAAGTACAGGACAGACAAAGCCCAGTTGCCCTGAGGCATCCCACCCACCTCCCCCATGCCACAAAATCAACTTCTCCCCTGGGCACCTACTAAGGTACTAGAGCGTGTAGAGGTTCTTGGGAAAACTAAAAAAGGTACTCAAGTCATTTCTTTTTTTGTAGGGCTTATTCTCACATGGAACCCCAGTTGAGAAAGGCAGAACTAAAGGATCTGCAAAGCTGAAGAATCTGACATTTAGAGGAATCATAATATGAAAGGGGCATCTTATATTCCTCAGCTGTTATTTAACTACACAATGCTGTCTATTTTTAAACACCAATGAGTGACATGCACTGTTTTGTTAACCTGTTTAAATGTTAAAGATAGCTACTCATAAGCTATAAAGTTCATATGCTACCTGATCCTATCCTTTGCTGTTCCAAAGCACTGACTAATAAGCCTCTTGTTACCTTCTTAATCAAGGAATATTTCAGCGCTGTCAGAGTTACAGACACTGGCTCAAACCACTGCCCCTGAGGAGCAGACATTTTCACTGGGGTTGGTTTACACACAGCTGAAATCCAGTCTCGGTTAAGACCTTTACAAGGGGAAAAAAAAAAATGAAGGCCCAAGGCTCTCTCTCCTCACCAGAAGATCTTTGCGTGTTTGAATTTTCTGTGCAATAATGAACAATTCTTTCTCACGTTCAATCCGCTGTGTCAGGCAGTTATACTGCTTTTGCCTTTCTTTAGCTATCCGCTGCAGAAGAAACACACATTTTCAATAAAACATTAAATTAAAATATGAATAAGAAACTATTTCTTAATCCAATCAAGCCCAAATTTATTGATGGTTTATCAACTCCCTCCTTACTCCAGAATCAACATAACGAGACACTAAAATTGTCGGTTTTAAGAATATCACATTCTAGAGCTGAACAGAACCCTGGAGACTTGCCCAGGGACACATGGTTCACCTGGAGCAGAATCAGGACCGTCCTGGGAGTCTCACAGATCTCAGGAATCTTTCCACTACTACACTAAGCTGCTTCAACCCTTGTACGAGTGTCCTGGTTACCTAAGGTGACGCAGGAATGAACCAGTACTGGAAACTCTACACGAAGTGAGTAGAGAAGGGTGCAAGGCAGTGTTTAGCATCTGAGAACCATAGATCTCAGAGAGGAGAAAGGCTTTGTCAGCAGAAGCTGATCTGAAAATTCTCACTGCTGATGACTCCTCAAAGACCAGTGGTCCTTAAATTTGGGAGAATCATAAACCTCTGAGAAACTGATGAAAGCTTTGGATTCTTTCTTGAAATAAATGTACATGTGTACAAATTTGTAGGGCTTATTCTCCTATAGAACTCCAATTGAGAAAGGAAGAACTACATGATCTAAATTTGTACAAACATATATACCTATTTGCTTAAAATTTCAGTGTGTCAAAGAGAGCATTCATAGACTTCCTAAAGTCCATTCATGAACTGCCCGCCCCCTCTAAATTAGACTGAAAATTCCTTTGTGATTCACCCACCAGCAGTCCCTTAATAAAAATAATTTTGCTTTAAAGAAAACAACCAAAAGAAATAACACAGACAAAAATGGCAAGATTCAAACCTTCCCAGCTTCTCAAAAGATAAATTGGTGAAGTGTTCTACAGAGTTTGAAATACTAATCTCTTTAGGGACTACCACAATTCTTGAGAAGTATCAGTGACACAGCTAATTGAAAATACAACTAATTGACAAACAGGGTTATCACGAGAAAACTAGTCAACTGGCTTCTCAGCTGGAAGTGTTATCTACATAAAGGGGAATATTACTAGGCCTCAGACTTAAACAATTCCCCGATTCTAGCATAGTCTCCCAGCAGTGGTTTCAGACAGCTTTTGTTTTCACTTTATTGCACAGACTGTCAAATTTATGGCACTACCCAATATAGTCAAACTAATTAGGGGTATTTATATTACTAAAGCAAGTTTAGCTGCCTCTGAGCTAGAGAAACTGCTGTGAAATTAAACATTGGAAGCAAAGCTGATGCGGTGTAAATGATTCAAATCAAAACAGAACAGCTGTCTGACTGAAACACATTGACAGCATTTTTTTAAATGAATCAGTCAGAAGTGAGAGTTCAACTCCAGAAGGCTTTGAGAAAAAGCATATCTTCTGTACCAACCCAGCTACAGTGATGGAAACCAACATAAGGAAAAGTCAAAACAAAATTTTGGTTACAAATGCATAACATTAAAGAATTTTTGATATGTGTATTCACTGCTAAAGGTTCGATATCGAAGTATACTAAATCCTTTCATCTTCAGTGCCCCCTCTTTCTCTGCACTTTAAAACTGTTGGCATCTGTTACAAGCATTATAAACACAAAGCCCAGGGTCAGAGGTGGGATTCAAATGCAGATCAAAAGGCCAAAACCTAAGCTGCTAATAACCACTATGTCACCCTTCCTCCAATCTTAGAAACCAAAGACTGCTCCTCCACTCTCATCCCCATCATCGAACCCTCCTACTTTTCTAGGGGAACTCAATGTGTTTGCACAAATAATTATATTAAATGCAATGACCAAAAAAGGAATCTAGATTCTCCTAAACTCAGACCTAAAGAAAAATGGAGACTATTACCTTAAGTTGAGTCTGATGGGTAACTCCTTTCACTTTCTCCTTCTGCAAGGTCTCTATCGTGGGTCTATTAAAGACTCTGTCCACGAGTTCCGGGGCTGTTCGCAGGTGAGTTGCAACATCAAACTGTTCAACTAAAAGTCAAAACAAACCTTAGGGCACTGTCTCTAACACCAGACAACACAATGCTAGACTGTCCCAGGAACCTGCAAACATTTCATACCTTCCTTTTTAGTGTCGAAAAAGAACACATGCTTATTCTGTTGCTTCCCCTGGAAATCCAGCAGATGGAGCTCTGATTTTAGTCTTTCAATTTTCTACAACACAAAATATGGTCTCATTTTATTTTGGGTTCTTCTAAGGTATCAGAAATGAATTTGCAAAAGTTTAAACCATTTCACATAATTATCACCAGGCAGTAAAGAATTTGCCCCATTCTTTTAAAAGAAAGGACCACTAAAACTTATCGAGCACCAACCACATGTCAGGTACGGGGCTACGCATTCCCCAAAACTCATTTAATCCTTACAACAATCCTATGAGAAGTGAGGAAAGCACTTCACAGAGGTTAATCTGACCATAATCTTGTGTCTAATAAATGGCAGAGCAAGAATTCAAACCTGTCTGTCTCATTCCAAAAACTGAACTTTCCATTCTACCATACTTTCTTAGTCATGTTCACAATTAAGCATACTTCGAAGACTATAATACCAAAAGAAATCAACTTATAACATTAAATTGATATTTATATTTCTCTTCTGAACCAACAAAAATATACATCAGAACAAAGAGTTTCAGTTGTTACCTTAGCTTCTGCAACCCTTTTCATTTCTATATATTTGACATCCTGAGTTCTCATCAGTTTCAGCTGTTCTGGAGTTACTTCTTCCTTAATATCCTTAATAACATGAACTCCATCCTAAAATCCAAATTTAAAAGATACATTTCCTATTAGATGAAAATCATTACTAAGTTGTTGGCAAAGTTCATCGCTGGAACAAAGAACACCAAATGCTATACGCAGCAGCAATTCAATGCTCTAGGCGCCTAAGGCACATGGTCAATTTAGCACGTCCAGTCATCCCCTTTAAGAAAAGCTCCAGGCATAAGACAACTCAGAGTCAGGGGCAGAAATGCATGCTGCTCATGCAGGGACAGTTTTGCCTTGGACACTGACCTGGACCAACTGGAGAAGGGCTGAGTAAGAGCCAAGATTCCTTCTCTCCATTTTCCTTACAGAGTTGGAGCTCAAAACACCAACTGATCCATTAGTGACCCACCTGGAGTTTAACCCGAGTCATTTTATAGTAGAATTCATCTGGATTTTTTTCAAGAGCTTTCTTCCGGAGAGCTCTGAGGTATTCTTGCTTTTTCCGGTAGTCACTAAAAGGGAGGTTAAACACGGTTCATAGTGAAAAAGCTTTTTAAAAACCCACAATGAGCAAACTACAAGCATCTCAAGTTCATACAAAATGAAACAAAAATGCCAAAGCAATGACTACATTTGATCCCTATGCCACTATCACTGATGTTGAGCTCCTCTCTGTAGGTCCCCCTCCTATCCCAATCTTACCTGAAATTAACCATCCGCATCTCACATATCTCTTAGTACCATTTATATCATAACACAGAGAGACAAAACAAAGCACAAATTAAAACTCCTTAGACAGGGTTCTGATGCAAGCCTGGGTGCCAAGTGACCAAATAAGAAACTACACACTGCAGTATAGCACAATGACTGGAATCGTGACTCTGGAGCCAGACTGTCTGGGTTCAAACCTTGAAACCTTCTACCACTTCCAGTCGGGTAATCTTGGAAAAATTACTCTGTATTCCAATTTAATCTGTAAAATGGATATGATAATAATAGTATCACAGAAGGTTGTTAGGAAGAAAAAAATGAGTGTAAAAATTATAATTCTCCTAGAACTCTGCTTGGCCCAATGACAGCACTTGGTTATTACTATTCCCCTTAAGAAACTCTGAGACCAAGAGAGAGCAATCCATCGCCCACCATCTGTCCCAGGAGCACAAAAAGGACCTCAGCTGACATGTATGGCTAACAAAAAATTATAAAGTATTCTGCAAATAAAGTGCTAAAGAAGAAGAAGAATGGGGATAATTGTTATATAAAATGTTTTCAGAGTTCATTATCACCCACGCTCAGTCTCATGAATCCATCTTTCACGTCTCTTCATTCCATACCACACACATGGTGATGTAAAATTCCAACAGCTGGAATTTTAGATTATATCTTGCACTTCAAGAAAAGGAAGAGGAAAAAACTCAATTTTTGGCACCAACACCAAGGCAGGGGCAAATCAAAGCCACTATGAGAAAACAATCTGGAGCAACATAATTAAAAAAAAATTCACAATGCAACTACAGTTAAATAAATAATGCTCTGCCTAAACAAAGAGAGAAATTTAGGGTCACAGACAAGTATCTGACAGGCTGCCAGAGCTTTGGCCATTTTATCAATGGCACGAAATTATCCCCTGTTGGACACTCAAGCATTTCAAATGCAGTACAGGGAGGTTGTAAGCTTTCTTGGCAGCACCTCTACCAGAAAGACTGAACTCACTTTGCACGAAGTTTGTAGTCTTTCTTTTTTTCCAGCAAGCCCAGATGTTTTCGAAAGCCGGGCTAGAAGACAAAAGAAAAAAAAGTGTTAAGTTTCTTCAGCAAACACATACTCAGCTCAACATAACACCTGACTAGAACAAACGTCTCTGGGGTGCTCAGTAAATCCCTGTCCTTGGAGCCAACTCACTACCCTGTTCTCTCCCCACCCCCAACTGCGCTCTGCCCAAGGATGAGAAAGACCATGCAGGCGCCAGAAAGGTCACAAGCACTGCCATAGTAGGTTTCTTGGCCTATTAAGGACAGAGAGAGGCAACAATGACTCTGCACTAAGCAAGCAGTTGCCAGTTGTACTAAAATTACTACAGACTTAATCCAAGGGTTTATAAAATACTATGAAGGGAATACATAGTAACAAGGAGGCAACTGTGGTAAGGAAGCTAAATTTAGAGTCAAGAGAACTGGGTTCAAATCCAAGCTTTACCTCTTAACAATCTGTGACCTTGGGCAAGTCACTTAACTTCTCTGAGCTGCTGTTTCCTGCCTATAAAATGAGAATTACAGTACCTACTTCTCGTGGTTATCATGAAGATTAAATGAGCCTCTATAAACGGTAGTGCCTACACATGGCTTAGCACATAGCAGGTGCCCAGCATATGTTTGCTGTTATTACTGTATCTTTGATACGAAGTATGAGAGAAAACCAAGTATGACAGAAAATACTTTCTCCGACACAGAACTTGGATAGCACAAAAGGTACAAGGATTACGTCTTGGTATTTTCGTTCTACAAGCTGCCATTTGTTGAACGGTTCATATATGTCAGGGTCTGTGCTAGATGCTTTTGCCTACATCATCATAACAGGCCACATTTATTAAGCTCTTACTCTGTTACAAAGCAGTCTAACCTCATTACACACAATCTCATTTAATCCCTACAACAATCATGTAAAGTAGGTAAAGTAAACAAAGAATTGGTTATCCCAATTTTCCAAAGGGAAATGAGGTTTAGAGAATGACTTGCCCAAGAGCATAGAACTAGTACATAGCAAAGCTAGAACTAGACAGAACCCATTGTATTTGGGGCCACAGTCTGTGCTCTTCCCACACCCCACTAGACTGCATCCTCTTCTGCTCTGAATAATCTCAACTTTTGAGAAGTACATACACTCCTCTACTGTTTAAACTTGTATAACAATTTGGGTGGGTTTTTAACAGTGACCCTTGAAGTGATAGAATAAATAAGTCGATATATAAATTAACACTCAAACTTCTGGTAATTTTTATTGTAATCATAGCACACCAAGGGAGACTGACAGAGAGTGGAAAAAGAAAACTCAAGGGTCAAAAGAGCAGCACCATGAGGCAGAAATCTTGAAAGCTGTCATGTCCACTTGAATATGCACTGGCATGATAGAAAAAAAACCTGGCATTGCATCTGAAATAGTTCGATAATTACACATGATCCCTCCACACAAAATATCTTCGATAGCGTCCCCACTGCTTCAGTGAAGGATCTATAGGATAAAACCCAAACTTTACACAAATCAGGAGTGCTTTGTGTTTATCCACCTTTCCAACATGACCTTCTCTGCACCTCTCCCCAAGACCTTATATTCCTAATCAGACATGGCCATGTCATGCTCATAGCCAGCCTTCTCTGCCAATCCAAATCAATTACTTACAACTGTGATTTTGGGCACACTATTCGATCTCTTTAAGCATCAGATTCCTCATTTGTAAAGAATGAAGGTAACACCCACCTCACAGAAATGCTGTAAGATTATACGAAATAAACCTTGTACAGCCTATTGGGAAGTACCCTAGCATAGAGTCAGGGCTCAAAAAGTGACAGTTGTTATCACTGCCTTCCAAGTCCAACAAATTTCACCATGATGCTTCATATCTACTCTTCCCACTCGAATGCCTCATTTGGCATTTTTTATGTGCTACCTCTTATAAAGTTGCCTTTTGATTCATCTTTTAGTAGCCTCTGGATTTAAAATACTTGGTCTGAGTCCTGGCTTTGCCGCTTACCAGCTCTCTGTCTTTGAGCAAATTACTTATCTGAACTTAAGTTCTCCCATTTGCAAATGTGAGAAAATAATAGTACCTACTTCCACACACTGTTCAGAGTTAAGAGATAATGAGAGGAAAGCTTTTTGTAATTTATCTGGCTCTGGCACACAGTAAGCACTTCTAGCTATTATTACTTTTAATTTGGTCTACACATAGGTCCAAACAAAGTGGCATATTACACAATTGCTCCTGGCACACCACGATGCACACAGCAAATGAACAACAAATGTCTGATAAATAATATTAAGCAGGAAGACTAAACTGTGGTTAAGAGGCTTTAGTTCCATCCCATCAGTTGGCGACACAACTTAAGACACATCTTCTCCCTCTCTTCCCCATCTGTAAAATGGAGTTGGACCAGATATCTCTAAGGGCCTTTCTGGATTGGATATTTTGAGATTCCCGAGAGCAGTGGAATAAATTGATTCTACATATATTAAACGAATTTCTATTCAACCTCTCCACACAGATACATCCTCCACAGAAGTCCTACAACTGTTTATTCCCCCTGAATTCGGTGTTGGTGACTGGGAAAGTCACTTTAGCTCTCTGGACCTGTTTTCTCGTCTGTATAATGGGGATGGAAAACACCGAAAAACATTACAGAGTGAGACAAAAACAAAAAGCGTACGTGGCAGATCTTCATGGACCACAAAGCCCACGGCGATGATACCCTATCAATAATACCAATCTCTTTGGTCACAACCCCCATATGCAGCGAGCAGAGCTGAGCACCTTTAGATGTGGCTGCCAGTTCCAGCCCGCGCACGTACTGGCTGTGTGAGCTTTGATCTCAACTTCCTCAGAAAAGGTCAAGCACTTGGCACACACAGTACCTCATTTAATTACCTCACTGAAACCTTGCAAGATAGCTCTGATTACCCCCCAAGAAATGGGGAGCGGCCCCTGCTCTTCCCAGGGAGAATGATAACCCCTTCGCTTCGCGGAGCCGTGAAGCTCCGCCCCAGCCACGCCAGCATCGTTAGCATAGACTTGCATTTACTTACACCCGAACGCTACGTACAGAAGAGAGCAGGACCCGCGGCGGAGAGGGGGTTGGGGCGAGAGAAGCACATGGGCCAGCGTTCGTGGAGCTTGTGCGGTCCTACCTGGCTTCGCTCTCGGTGTTCCCGCTGTCGGGACTTGGCCGCCTTCCGAAAAGCCGCCGACATATCTGCCCACGCCTGGGAAAGCTCAATAGACAACGCTGGTGCCGTACCACCTCAGACGCCGAATCCACAGACCCCACCGGAAACAGGCCGAGCCTCCAGAGGCTTAGAACCGCCCCGTTCCTCTCCGCAGCCTATGCAGGGGCCTGCTTTTCCGGAAATACGTGTTCTAACAAAGACGTCCATCACTGGCGCCTTCTGGGAAGTGTAGTTCCCTAAGTCCAGTCTCTTGACTCTACAAAAGCCAGTTCTTATTCGCCCACGTGTACCGAAACCTCTCTCGCCTTCGCGCTCGGCTCCGCGTTGGCACCTGGGAACACATGGCTGCTACTGCCCTCCGCTGAGCTAGGAGTGGAGTGTGCGCATGCGCGGTCACCTAGGGCGCTGCTCCACTTGCCGTCTTTGTGCGGTGCGTTTAAAGCTGGGAACTCTGTTAATTTTACTGTGTACCAGAAAAGAGCACTCTATAGCGAGACAACAGACCTTAAAACCATGTCTGGCTTTGCAGTTTGACTTTTGACAGGCCACTTGACTTTAATGTGCATCGTTTTCCTCATCCATAAAACAAGAATATTAATAGCATGCTCTGCTTGCCTCTTAAGGTCCTCGAGGGGTTCTCAGTTGAATGGAGGAATCATATTGTGGTAGTAGTTATAAAGTTCTGAGCCTTACACCCTCAAGGGAACGGCTGGCTGACAGAACCAGTATCAGATGAAGAACAATGTAAATCATTAGGACCATAAACCATGGAAATGTGTTCTGATCCTAACTGCTACCAGCCAAGGCAAAATTAGCTTCACTCAACCTTGGTCTCCCCATCTGTAAAATGGAGGTGATAATACTATACCCACAGAATTGTTGTGAGGATTAAATGAAATAATATGTTTAAAATGCTGTGTTCACCCCTTAGCAAGTTTACAATCAATTGGAACTACTATTTTATTATATTATTATTACTAAACCTAACCGAAAAGATAGAGAGAGGGTTAGGCACAGCAGAGCACTCCAGAGGCATTTGGTTTCTTTTCCATCATGTAAAGCTAGCCTTCAGCGAGTTCTGTAATTGGCACCCATTCCACATTACAGGGCTGTCTCCTCCAGCTGAAGAGCTCTGAGGAAATCCTCTCCTCAGTCCCCAGAGCTGCAAGTCCAGCAGACCAGTGGGCATGAAAAAAGCCTAAAGTAGCTGAGATCTGCAAGTGAAAAGCTTTTTCTGTCTCTGAGAATGAGCCTCATGCCAACTAGGGCCACATGCATTAACAAAGTTCCATCCCATTTGTTACTTAACCATTCAAAGACAAGGATGCCCAAGATCTGGCCTATGCCCACCTTTTCAGCCTCATCTTGATTAAGAAGCCCAGCCACCAGGCAGAGTGGCATGGTAGTAGCCCCAGTCACTCCTGCCACTTCCCCTGAAAAAGGCATTATGAGATGAGCATACCCAGGAGAAGACAGCTCTGCACACTGGAATGGAAAAGAAACCCTGGAGTCAGCCTGCAGGGCTCTAGGCACCCCAAAGGGTAAGGGTGAGCAATACATCCAAACAAGGAAGGAAATTTTCTCATTGGGGGAAGGAGGGCTTTTGGTTACAAGCATAAAAGAGTGATTCAGCACCCAAGAGGAAACCATGAGAGGCCTGTCAGTCATCACCCAGGGCCTCCTTTCAAAAATGCTTCCAAGGTGAGGGAACAACTGGGAGACTCTGAGCAAGCCCCCTCTACCACATGATAAGGAAGGGTATGTGGGGACTGGCTGGGTGAAGGGACAACCAGATCCCACTCACCCAAAGCAATTCATCTAGCACTGAGGCTCTGCTTCCAGCCCCAGCTCAGACACACCTGTTCCCGGGGTGGAGGGGGGCGGGGGACTGATGGGGAACAGGAACAGGGAGTCCGTATGGCTGATCCCTAGACCTCCCTGGGGCACGTTCTCCTGGGTCAACGAAAATAGAGCAGGCAGGGAAATGTGAGACCACTGGGGAACTGGACATGTGGCGGGGAACCAGAGGGGCACTTACAGTTTAGGCATCAGAAACAACAATGATAAACAGCCCTTGCCCTGTACCAGTCTCTCTCCCCCAGTCTGGGCCAAGTCAGAAATCTCCTAACTTTCTCTGGCCTCCAGACTCCAAGTCCAGCAGCAGAACCTTAACACTTGATCATGAAAGGCAGTTGTGGGGGAGGGCGAAGCCCCGCATATTAAGTATCTACTGTGTGCTCTCATCCAATCTTCACATGAATGCTGTGAGACAGGAATCGACCACTCAACAGATAAGGAGACTGAGGCTTAAAGAGGTTAAATGCCTAGAGACTTACAGCCCAACAGTTAAGCTCTTTCTTTTTTTTGGCATGAGGAGCTTTGATATTTGATTGGATTTGAATCTAGGCTTGCCATTATTCACAGTGTCACCCTTGGCAGGTTACTTACTCTCTCTGTGCCTTCATTTCCCCATCCTTAAAACAAGTATAAGAATATGTATTTCATAAAGTTGTTGGGAAATCAAGTGCGCCAATATATGTAAAGTGCTTAGACAGGATCTGGTGTGAAGTAAGAACTTAGGAAAGATGGGCTCTTGTTAAGGCTGTGCAGCAGATTCAAACTATGAGTAAAAACCAGAGACCCCAACTCTACCTTTGATCTACTTTACTCACTCACAACCCCTCCCTTTCTGAAGGCTGTTCACCTGTGCCCTTCCCCCAGAGCAGACCCCTTTTTGCCATCTGCTCCAACCAGGCAGTCTTCCCTGCACTCCCCAGACCTGGGAGTTTCCTATACCAGCAAGACAAATCCCAGAGAAAGGGCCCACCCAGCTGGCTACTCACTGCCTAGACTAGAGGTAGCAAGTGTCTGGGATCCAAACTGGGAGGGAAAGGGGGGATCCAAACTGAAGCAGTGTCCATCATTCATTCATTCATCAGATATCTATTATCTAAACATTGGAGTAAGTATTGGGAATGTGGTGGTCAACAGAAGGAACCCATTCCCTGCCCTCACAGGCACTTACAGTTTAAAGCATCAGGAACTAAATAATAAACAAGCGATTAGTTAATTTTAAAGGGAAGCTGAACTTGAGGGTGACTTGGGACCCAGGAAGGCAAGCATGTGATTCAGAGATGGGAGAGGAGGATACTCAGGAGCCCCAGCCTGGGTGGGAATGAATCTCTTCTGAGAGCTTCGTTTGACCCAGCCTGGGGAATGGGAAAGCCTCTGAGTCTCTACTCTAGATGCTGAGGTTATTTCTAGGGTTGGTTTGTTGCCTCTTGTTTTGCAAACAGCACTGCAGAGCCTCCTCATTCCTCCCCCGCCCTTCCAGATCCCAGCTATTTATTTCTAGTGACAAGCCTGAGAATCCCAGGGGGGATGGCCTCAAGGACCTAGAGGGGCCTTGTGTCCGTGGCAGGCGCCAGTCCTCCCTCCAGGGCACAGGGAGGAAGCCAGAAGGTTGGAAATCATAGAGGTGAGGGAGGGGGTGTTCCCTCTACTTCCCTCCACCACCCCTGCAGTGTGACCGTGCACTCTCCTCACAGCCCTCCCCCAAAAGTCCAAAAATCATGAGACCAAGGATTAGGATCTCCCCTGGGCCTCAAAGGTCAAAACTATTCCTGGGCACTGTGGAAACCAAGGCAGGACTTCTCCGTTTCAGGATGCAGCTGGAGGTGAAGAGGCGGTTACTTCTGTTTTTGCCACTCAACAGTTGTAGAATAAAGCCCTGTGAAGGTCAAGGCTCTATTGAGAAGGGGGAAGTCCTCTCCTCACTCCACGTTTCCAGAGAACACCTAGGTCCCCACTGACAGAGCCATGACAGCAGAGTCAAAACTACCCTCTCCTCAAAGCTGGCTCCTTTTATTGGAGCTGAGTGTGACCCCTTGGGGGTAAACTGGGAGGCAGGGGGACATGAAGAAGGGAGGAGGACTCTTAGTCCGCAAATGGACCTTGGTGGGCTGGATCCTGTACCCCTTGCCTGAGACTGAATACAGGAGTCTCCGCCTGCAGCTGGGGGGTTGGAGGGAGCAAGGAGAGAGGACAGCAAAAACGGCAGGGAGGGGACAGGGGCGGGGTCCTGGCTTCCCAGGAAGGTTTGGAGAGCCAGGTTAGGCTGGGCCCGAGGACGGGGGTTGGGGCAGGTTCCAGTCTAAAAGCGAGGTGGGGGCGGGGTCTGGCCCCCAGCCTCGGGGA